CATTTCACACCGGACCCGTTTTCCAGGGTCTCGTGAGTGACATATGATGAGAGTGCTGGAGGTTCCCTCTAAGTATAATTTATGCCGCCAAAGCCAAAGTAAGAAGATTCCCGCAGAACACAGATTGTCGTTATCTTGAACGAGCTGCTCGCATTGGACAACATAGAGTTTTCCGAAAGGTCACTTGCAGTAGACACCTCAGCAAAAGCCAAGCCTACTCTAGCTCTTGCCTAGAGAATTTAAGCCAGGACTTGGCCAGGCTAGACGTTCAGGGACTTTAAGACCTCGCGTATATATATAATTAACGGATATTAAGGGTAGAATTAATTAAGCATTGAGAGCCCTTATAGACGGACGAAGGCTATTGGGATTGACCTCTCCGAATTTGTCAACAAATACTGGTCCCGACAACTCTGCGATTGTCGTTTCCAAGCGAAGTGCAATTGGCAAGGCGAATGCATAGCCTTTCCACGCCGTCTTTTTGCATTTCCAGCCTTACCTGTCACAACGTGGGCACAATTTTTTTCTTGCAAGCGAAATGCTTTCCTCAAATCAAAGCTTGTGACTTCCTTTTCATTGCTCCTCATTTCGAAGTGGTGCAATTGCGTGCTCAAAACTGCTGTCCCCACAAAGGATTGCCACACCTTTTGCCAAGACCAGGCCAAACATCCCTTCACCGGCTTTGTATATGTTGTAGATGCCAGTTTAAAGGCAAAAACATTGTCTGATTTCAGGTGTACTGTGTGACCTGCTCTTTCAGGTATTGACAGCTTTGGCGGGAGCTCGACCGAACCATCTGGCGGAAAGGCACCCCTAGCACCCATTGCTACTGCAAACTTCCTGGAGCAGCTTGGGCATCATGGCTGCAGTATTGTGCATGAAGTTAACTTTCTGATTTGCCAGTTGGTCTTACCAAGGCTGTGGGAGGAAGCGAAATCAGTGAGACACCGTGTGCAAAGCCGACCTCAGGCCCTGCATGGCTCTGCATTCCTCCGACACATCTTACTGATACTGTCCTGTTTGTACAATTTTTTCTTGATGCAGGCTCGCAGGCACAGCCGACACTGCAGAGTCTCTGCCAAGATGATTCAAAAGGTCTGTATCGAGTTTGAGCAAGGGTGGAAGCAGTTGGAGATCGTGGGAGGGTGTTTGATCAGGTCAAAGCGCCGAAGCTTGAGGTAAAGGAAGAGCTCAAGGCAGTGGAAATATGTGAAGGGCTCATGTCCACACCCGGCTTTACTTGGGCTCCACTAGTTGTGTCCTACTTTCTCTCTCCACACGGAACAGGACAGATCCCAGAATTTTTCCATCTGGCCTTAGTGCATCATTAGCAGCACCAGGCATCACTTCTAGCCTTTCCCAACCTTTGCAGAAGACCTTGTCGGGAGGGCTGCGAGATTGTTCAAGTGAGCTGCCCTCGTTTTTTTTAATGCACCATTATAGATGTAGTCTACTGTTCAGGCGGTGTAGCCATGCAGTACCCTCCACGTACGCCACCTTACAGTTCGCACATCTTTTGCACAATCTTGTTTTTGTGCATAGGGGCCAAGCCTCCCAAAATCCACTGCCCATTCCCGCACCAGGTCTGCAGACAATCTCCATTCATCGATCATTGATTGACCCATGTACCGTGTCATCTTACACAATATATGTTTCAATATTTTCCCTTGTCTCCAGATGTTGTGGGACCCTGAGACAATGCATGCTCCTGAATCCGCAGCCTCTTAGAGGCTTCCTGCGTGGTCTTTTTTCCTCTTGCAAGTGTTTGTCAGCACGAGAGCAACGTGCTTGCATTGATCACTCACTTTTATCAAAGTCTAGTCAGTGTGGCTGCAGTCGGTTGGCCTGCCCTTTCCAAAGCCAAGTTGGTTTGCTCAGCATGCTGGGACTGGGAGGGCCAGTTGTCATTGAACCTGCCAAGCCTTGCATTATTAGCATCAGATTGTTCACTGGACTGAGCTGCTGAACAAGGGCCGGCAGACTGGAGTTGACTGGTTCAAGAACCTCGCACATGCCACCCCTTCTGCGAACAAACCTGGTTCAAGAACCTGGTTCAAGCAAACCTTCTGCGCTGTGCACAGGTCAAGCCCGAAATCAAGGTGAAAGAAGAGCTGGAGGAAAAGGTGCTTTTGAGGTGGGAAGAAGCACGCCCACATACAAAACACAACAAGCACGGTTCAACATCAGTAAGGCCTTCCTCAACGGCCCGGCCAGTTGCAACACCTCAGGACTGCCTGGATTTAATTCATCCCTCACCGCTTGTTCGCATTCAAAGAACCACAGCCATAGGTGTCTTTTGACCAGCCTCTACGCGCGCTCCTCGACAAATGCCCGCAGCCACCGCAAAGCTCAAGAAACATGTTGGCATTTTGCATCGTTACTAGGAGCACGGATGCTACTAGGAGCAAGGACGCTACTAGGGGCTCCTGGCATCGCTACTAGGAGCAAGGACGATACCGGAAAGGATTCACAGTCAATTGGTTTGCTCTGCTAGCTGGCCAAGGACCTGATGTTCCTGGTCTTCCTCAAGACTTTGTGCTCGAGTTAATGCTTTGTACGTTGTACTTGTGTCTCTTGTTGTCATGTCACGGCATGCGTAGATGTGTCACTCACAAAAGGCGTTTGCAAATCTTGGCTGAGGTGTGGGACAGAGATCCTTTAGTAAGAGCATTGCAGCAACTCTATTCCAGAGCTTCGGGTGCCGATGTGGAGAAGCACTTGCATCTCAGCCCATGGTCGGCAGACCAAGAGGTGCGACATCAGGGCAGAAGTTCTAACTTGAGTAGCTGAAATAGCATGCAGTCTTGATCATCAGATTCCGTGATCTCTACAGGCCATAAAGAATCTAGCCCGCTCGTCAAGGGAATTTGTTCCAGCCTTGCTCCAAGTTTGGGTTTCGGCGTGTTTTTTCTCCCAGCGCGGCAAGATTGAGGCGCTTGAAGAGCTTCGCAGAAAAGCCGTGGACCGCGCGGTTTTGCTTGCCGCAGAGCGTCGCAAGAAGGCCTGCGTCAGCTTTCTTGGGAAAATCCGAAAAGCAGGTCGGGGTGCTGCCATGGTGCTTAGAGTGCAGGTCAAGGAGCAAGATGCGGACCAGGGTCACAGTGAAGGGGAGCAGCTGGGTAGAAAAGTCCTTGTATATAATTGGTCGAGTCACTGGCCGCAAAAATGCTTCAGTGTTTGATACACTGCACAGAGGCATACTGAGTCAATCTGAGTCATACTGTCCAACCAAGGAGCAGCGGGCTTGACTTCAGCATTAGCGATCACAATGGTGAAGACCAAACTGTTGCAACGAAGCCAGCTTTGCTTCTACCTGCCGGCTGGAGAACGGACGCATGATTGACAACATGACAACCATAAACTGCGCTGTGCTGATGATTGTTCTTAGTCCATCTTAGTCCAACATGATCGTGGGATGCTAGCACCCTGAACTGTACGGCAAGGAATCACATCGGAGAAGGGGGCGAGAACGCCGTGTTTACACTGACCCCTTTGGTAGAACATACTGGACGCTTGCAGACGCAAGAAAAGTGTCTCGCCTTCAGTGCACCAAGTCAGATGGAGAAGGGTTTATGTTGGTAGTGAAGATGACCGCCAATAGGGGAGGGCATCGGCCATCGCTATTAGGTTGGAGGTTATTGCTGGTAGGTTGGAGGCCATCGCTCTTGGGTGGTGTTAGTGAAGATGCCGCCAATAGGCACAAACAAGGCCACCGGTGTTGCCATGCCCCTCAACTCTTGATTGCTGTTGGCAGCGCTTTTCAATGCATATCCAGCTTAGGGGGATGGAGCCACGGGAAAGTCAGGAAACCAATGGACCAGCAAAGTGTTCTGCTATGTTCTGCTCAGTTCGAATTCAGTGTCCTCACCCGTCGTTTGTTTGCTCAACATGAGGTGATTGATGCCGAAAGGACAAGAGGCTTGACGTGTACTGTGGGTTGCTTTGATTGGCCTGGCTTGTAGTTCAATTCAATACAAAGAAGCCAACAGCTGTGATTTGAATTAAGGACAGAACATGGCCAACCTCCTCAAGAACAAAGCAAAGACCAATTCAGATGGGACAACCAATTTATTGACTTCTGGCGACAAGGTGGGAATGGATGTGTCATTAGGACTCAATCTCATTCTTGCAAGTTCAAAGCGTGATGTTTGGGATGACGTCGGGAGATTGGGGCGCTTGCGAGGTAATGGATCACGATTCCAAACGGCAGAAGCTCACTTGACAGTTGGATGTGGCGGTTTGCCGCCATTGCCATGTTATGTTCTTTTTTCCCGAATGCGTAGCGAAGGGTTCTCGTTTAACTCTTGGGGGTCTGGGGGTAGAGCCTTGTTCGTGACCCGTTGTTTCTAAGTTGAGTGTGCCCTACAGGAGTGTCCCACAAGAGTGTCCTACAAGAGTGTCCCACAAGAGTGTCCCACAAGAGTGTCCTACAAGAGTATCACAAGAGTTTCCTGCAAGAGTGTCCCACAAGAGTGTCCCACAAGAGTGTCCCACAAGAGTCTCCTACAAGAGTGTCCCACAAGAGTGTCCCACAAGAGTGTCCCGTATGAGTGTCCCACAAGAGTGTCCCGCATGTCCCACAAGAGTGTCCTACAAGAGTGTCCCACAAGAGTGTCCCGTATGAGTGTCCCACAAGAGT